GCCTTCGGTGGCCGCGCCCACGCCCGACACGGCCCCGCGACCCCCGCCCCGGGCTGCGCGAGGGGGGCGGGCTCTGATCCCCAGGGCCGGTCCGGGCCGGCAGCGCGGAGTAGGCGGACTGGGAGAACACGCGCGATCCGCGGGAGGTGCCCGACGCCGTCTAGGCCCGAGGGGCGGGGGTTGGGCCGTGGCCTCCCCCGGAGACACACCCATCCAGGAGGGGCTGTCACTGCCACGGCCTCGGCGGAGGTGGAGGCACGATAAGCCCCCTGGGGGGATGGAGGTGGCTTGACCTGGCGCTCCAGGGAACTTGCATAGTGACCTTGGGGGCATGGCTGGGTCCTCCCTTGTTTGCAAATGGAGGCCCCAGTGGGTGCTATGCTGTCTTCTACTGCCGGTAGGCGGGTAGAGGAACCCATCCCTGGGGTTGGATTGGGGTCTGGGCTGCCCCAGGCTTGTGGGCAGGGAGAAGGGGAGGTGTGCGGGAGGATCAGTCCCCTCGCTGCGTGGTACCTTGGTACTCGGTTTGGTTCAACAAGTGTTGGCAGGCCTGGGGAGCTGGCCAGCGTGGTGAGGGGCTGCCCTTGGGGAGCTGGGGTGGCCTCGTGGATACACCTGCACCAGGAGCAAACCCAGGAGAGTGCGGGAGCCCAGATCCACGGACAAACAGTGAGGATCCTGGTAATCAGGGAAGGAAGGCTTCCTGGAGGAGATGAAAACCTGGAAGGCCTCGAATAACAGGAGTGTGATCATTAAGGCCACGCAGAGGGAAGGAGGGTGTCTAGATACATGTGCACCCACACATTTCTCCTCCTTTTCTGTGTAGGTTCCCTGGATTTGGGACTTTTGAGGCGAGTTTCTAACAGTTTTCAAACTTTGACTCTTGTTTCTGGCCTTGCGGTCCTCTCTGCTCCCGGTGGAGGGCATCTTGCCTCTCCCAGTTCTAAATATCTGCAGCCCTGTACCCCACAGTGCAGGGCCCCGGCAGAAATAAGGGTCTGAAATGACCTGGAGGTTTACGTTGATGAGGCTGCTTAACTTATCCTCTGTGGCTTCTGACGTGGTATTAGATGCCAGGAAGTGAGCAAAGTGAGATTCCAGTGGGCTGACAGGTTGGAAAGAGAAGAAAGGAGAGTGTGCAGATCTGGGGGAGCATGGCCAGGACACACCTGGCCTGGGGAGGCAGAAAGAAGCTAGCATCCGAGTTACTGAGGTCCGTTTTTCAGACCTATTCTGTTCTGGATTCTAGGTCCAGATAAATGGGGCATTTGGCTGTGCTAGGCGCTGGTACCGTCTACAGAGTGACTGCCGACCTCCATAGTTGCTGGGCCTTTCCCTTCTTTGGTCACCAGCAGGTGCACTTCTTGGGAGAGGGACTTCAGGCCGCAGCCTCCCCCGAGGCGGAGACTCTCCAGTGCTTCTGGGTTGGCTTGCGGTTTGAAGGACCCTCAACAGCGGTCTGTCTCTTCTGGAATGGGACAGTGGGGCCGAAATACTGAGTCCTAGAAATCTCATGTCTATCACATTGACTACAGATTGAGAGTCACTTCTTCAATAAATATTTGATTGCTTACTCTATGTCTGGCGTGGGGAGATTCAGAGATGTGCAAAGGGAACTTCTGTCTTCCTGGAGTTGACCATGTATTCAGGGAGACAGGCAGTAAACAGACAATTCCATAAGTAGATAAAAGATGTGGGTGCTGCGAGGGCAGAGTCCAGGAACTATGTGTAACAAGAACCCAGGGGCCTGCCTCTGGAGGATCAGCAAAGAAGAGGGGAAGAGAGTTCTAGGGAGAGGGAATGGCACAAGCAAAGGTCCTGAGGTGGGACGAGCATGGTGCCACTTTATTCCAAAGCCATGGAGTTTTCTTCTTTTGTCCTCAGAGATGGCGGCCTGGCCTGTGGGAGTCTGCTCTGGGTGGTGGCCAGGCAGGAGGCAGCATTACTGGGCTTGGCATGGTGTCTGGGCTCAGCCTGAATTTGCAGCTGGAGGCCTGGGTGAGAAAAGCCTTCCTCTGGGCCTGAGGTGGATTGCAGTTGGGAAACCTTTGCTGAGCATTCTCGGGGCCCTGAATGCTGGGCAGGGCTCTGTCCTGGAGGTGGGTAGGGTGACACTTGGCACACGTGTTTCCGTAACTCAGGCACCTTTACCCGCCCAAAGAGCCATGGAGACCAAGGAGGTAGGCTCTGGGAGAGGCTAGGTGGCCCTCCTAGGTGTAGTTCTGTAACCTGTACCATTGGGTTAAGTGATTTCTGAATCTAGAATGGGGCTGGAGGCAGCCAGAGGTGACTCCTGGGCTCCACTGTGTCTCAGCCGCTGGACTTGGGCCTTGGTCTCTGGGAGCAGCTGCGTGAATGCTCTGAGTTCCCTAGCTGTTAAAGTAGATTTTAAAGAAGCAGCTCAAAGTAGTTCAGAAAACGAGTGTACACTGCCTTATTAGTAGAAAAGTGTTGCTTTATGGAGTACGAGCTAATCATGGAGCAGTTCTCACAGGTGTCCAGTGGTGTGAACTGTTCTCACGAGCCTGGCATCTTTATGTGGACACGCATGTCCTGTTTTAGGGGTTGTGTGGCAGACGCTGTCTGCCAGCAGAGCCGGAGGAGCTAGGTTGGGCCCAACTGTGCTTTGTGGCCTGACATTTCAGGATCCTTCTGGGGTTCACGCCCTCAGCCCAGGTTCTAGGGTTGCTGTATTTGTAGTGGGCTTGTCTCACTTCGGAAATGACCCCATTCATGCCTGAGATACTGATGGGGCCGGTGTTGGATGATGGGCCTGTTCTTAGGTCTACACACAAAAGGGAGCCGCAGAAACTGACTTGTCAAAACCGTGACTCCGTCTTGCCCTTGGGACTCCATTGGGGCTGGAGAAGGATGCACAGTTGGGCGGGAGGAGTGGCCCCAGGGCCTGTGGCATCCCGGCCCGCCTGGATCCCTAGGCCCTGGCTCTGGGTAGTGCAGCAGCGTGGCTGTGTCTCCCCTGAGCGCCTGCACTGAGCCGTCTGTGACATTGATGTGAGAGTAGGACCCCATAAGCCACCAGAGCTTTGACAGTTCAGCTCTTAGGATTCTCTGGTCCCCAGACTTGAAGAGATGTCACAGAGCACTTTGCTGGTCTAGCGATGAATCAAATCTCCATGATCTGCCAAACTTTTTCCAGATGCCCTGGATGGAGCGAGGGTAAGGGAGATGCAGAGGGTAGTGCATACTCGGGGCCTTTTCTTTACTGCCTCTCATAGGAAGGAGCCTGACCTGCTGGCTGCTCAGATTAGGCCCCCTAGGCAGGGGTGAATGAGCACTGGTCTTACCTTTCACCTCTGCCCCACCCCTTCGTGCTGTGCAAGTGCCTGCAGCCTGCCCATGCTTAGCCCTCTCCTCTGACACTCCCTGCTGGACAAGCTGTGCGTGTTGAGAGCTGGGTGAGCATCTTCTCCTCCTTTATATCAGATGGGCTCTTCCTTGCAGGTGACAGTCACTCCTTTCAGCTAATTGTGGGCCACCCTCAGGCTGTGTTGCCTGGACTCAATGCTTCTCGTGGTCCTTGAGCATAAAGATCTGGGATCGGGCTGACCCCGTGGCTTAGTGGTTAAGTGTGTGTGCTCCGCTACTGGCGGCCCGGGTTTGGATCCCTGGGGCGCACCGACGCACCGCTTCCCCGGCCATGCTGAGGCTGCGTCCCACATACAGCAACTAGAAGGATGTGCAACTATGACATACAACTATCTACTGGGGTTTTGTAGGAAAAAAAGGAGGAGGATTGGCAATAGATGTTAGCTCATAGCTGGTCTTCCTCAGCAAAAAGGAGGATTAGCACGGATGTTAGCTCAGTGCTGATCTTCCTCACACACACAAAAAAAAAAAACAACTGGGATGAATCCCTGATTTACTTAAGAAAGCATGGCAGTGTGAGCGCACAGGAGAGGGCGGCTGTCTTTGAGCGAGAGCAGGCCCTCACCGGACACCGGATCTGCTGGTGCCTTGACTTTGGACTTCCCAGCCTCCAGAACAGTGAGAAAAAATGTGTGTTGTATAGGGGAAAAAAAAAAAAGAAAGCATGGCAGTTCATGCCAGGCATGTAGTTGCTAGTGAGAAAGAGCTGAAACCACATGATGAGGGGGGTCACAGAGAGGGGCTCTTTGGGCAGCTTTTCCAGGTACACAGTGGCTTGGTTTTGCCACACGGATCGTGGAGAGAGCTCCAGTCCTGCCTTGGCTCTGGTGCTGTTACTACACGATGAGGGAAATAAATTCTGCCTCGCAGAGGGTGGATGTGAGGCCCACGGAGGAACCTGTGTCAGTGTGCTGTGGCGGCTCATCTCCGTCGCCTGCCTGTGTTTCAGGCTGAGCTGAGGCTTACTTCCAGAGAAGATGGCAGCCCTTCACACAGCTCCAGACTCCCCA